AAATTGTCGTACCGGGTACAGGAAAATTTTCCATGGAAGAAGTCGTACAAGTACAATCTCAAATTGTACAATTTACTAGCCCTATGTATCGACTTGGAATCGAATATCGAGCGACAGTGGGAGGTTGTACATGTACGACTCGTATTGTAACTAGCAAATTACAAAATATATCGTACATGTACAAATATATTTCTCACAGTGGTCGAGACAACTTTTCGTTTTTCTGGGTGTATTCTCTCGAGTTTACCCTTGGAAGATCATAAAAAATTCTAACTTTTGGCCTTTCCTGTTTTCTTCGATGCCCTCCTTTAGCTCCTTAGGGGTGATTGGCAGGATTTACCGTGGGTGTTTTGTTTGGTGGGAGTGAACCTTGAGATCCCCTGAAAATTTGGAGTCTCTAGCACATCTCCCTCTTGTGGAACAGACAGACACACAGACACGAGGTCGTTTGCATAAGCCTGCTGGATAGCTTTTTCAAAGCAGAAGGGCGAGCTGAAAACAGCGAAGAAGGGTTTAAGGTGTTGCATCATTGAATTATTGTCAACGTTTCTTTCGTTTTACAGGTATGGTGATCATGCTCTTCACCATCTACTCCCAACAGTGGACCATTGTCGTCTTCGAGCACTGTACCCAGTTTTTACCGAGACCCTCGCCGAGTTTGGTATTCAGTACAGATTCACTACAGCCTGGACGCTGTTTAAAGGATCTTTCAAGCAACTGACCCGACGCGAACCTAACCAATGTGCTCCTGGCAGTGTGATAGACCTTAAGCATTAAAGGGCAATAAAGTTTACTCTTCAAACTATTCATAACGACTTAACATATAAACAGCGAAATAATTTAACGCCTTTGTACCCGAGCGAAGGAAATACAGGTATACAAAATGTCGCGCAAGTCCCAGGTGCACTGTCTGTGCTGTGGGGATAGGTAAAGAGTGGTAAGAATCGTTGCCAGTGCCTATACTAGTCACGTTCCACTAACCTCACTGAAAGTTCACTGTTATTAAGATACTGTGACGTCACATTCTATACTAAGTAGATATACGCCAGACCACGTCTCGCGGAACAGGCTTCGCGATATCTCACGAAACACTTTTACGCACCTGGCATACATCTACCTAGGCCTGCGGCGCTGACACCTGAGTCGGGCAAAAGGCAGAGTCGTAGATAGGCCTTCGGCTCCAAAGGACACAAATTTTACCCCCAGGACTTTATTTTGACGAGTCGCCCCACCAGAGTCCATCAAATGTCTGAGAAACAACATTAATATAAAAAGGGGTGATTTTCAAGTGGAAATCGACCTCTGGCGCCTCAACGGTTAGAGATAGAGCCAAACGGACGACATTTTCGCCCAAAGGGCTCTACTTAGATGAGCTACCCCTTAGAAAACAATAAAAAAATATTTTTTAAAAATGTCATTTTGGGGACCTGTGGTTTTTGATTTTTTTTAAATCCAATTTTTGAGCTAGAATGCTCTTCTTCGAACTTGATCTGTCTTTTTATGACACAAAACGACCCTGAAAATCCCAGGTCGCTAGCTCAATTCGTTCTCGAGTTATCGTGATG